TCACTCTGGTGGCACTTGGGGCTTTGGCAGCCTGAGCAGACGTTCTGCAGAAGCTTTGCTTGGAGGCCACCTCAATGGTCATTTTTCTCCCTCAAAAATGCAACAGCTGCATATTGGAGGAGGTTTGAGCCCCGGTCCCTTCACAGGTTGCGATGGTTTTTGACCGCTCTCTGCCCAAATCCTTGAAAAATCCCAACAGGAACATACCTAACGGGAGATACACCACCCGTGGTCTTGAGTCTTGACCATCCCTAAGGACTTCTGGAGAGGAGAGCGTGGGGCTTCGCGCGTCGCTGCTCCGCTCCTCTTCTACCGGCTTTTTGCTTTTTAATATTGCGTTATAACGGTATAAAATGTTTTATAATGTGCAGCTGTTGCTATTTGCTCAGCAGCCGCTACCTGCTCGCTCTCTGCTCACATACCAGGGGTCAGATGCCACCGGGTAATAACTCTTGATAAATGGTGACTTTGGAACGAAGAGCGCCGGAGTGTGCAACCACTTCAGCGGGTTGAGTGAGTGCAGCAAAGCGAGAAAATAAATATCTTGAGGATTTGAGGGGGGGAGGGATTCAACCAGCCGAGCTCTTGAACTGGTGTTTAAACCAGCGCTGTTTGGGCTCAGTCGGTATGAGCGGCCCCCGGGGCCGTGCTCGACTTGGGTTTGTTATTGATGTTCCAGCCATAAGAGGGTGTTTTTTCCCCCCTGTATTTTTTTATTTTGCGCCCCGCTGATGTTTTTCCAAGGAAACACGCTGAGGATAGGAGTAATTATCTATCGGTTAAGGCAGAAAACCCCCTGCGCTTGGAGAGAAGTGATGCTCCGGGATGTCTGCCCATTCCCCGGGGAATTCAGGGGAGATCCGGGGTGGGGGAAGCCCAGGTTGGACACGGAGAACCAAGATCCGTGGAAAAGCTGCTTCTTTGGAGCGTGCTGCTGGTGCGCCACGGTGTTTGGGGTTGGGATGTCTCGAGATATGAGGCCCGGGTATTATTTCGTATATATATATGTATATATGTGTGTGTATATATGTGATAATATAATATATGTTATTGAATATATGTAAATTTATCATCTATGTATTTTGAAATAGGTATTATTTATCAATAATATCTATTTTGTAAATTTGTAATTTATATATTTTGAAATAGATATTATTTATCAATAGATAAATAGATGTATAAAGATATCTATGTAAGTATAGGTATATATCTGTACGCATATCTCCGACTATATATATCTATATCGGTATCGGTATCAGTATAAATATAGATATAGATATAGATATAGATATAGGTATAGATATCTACACCTGTATCTATATAGATATCTCTATCAATGTATCTACACATATTATCTATAGTTAATATATATTTCAATATATATAGAATATATCTCTAGATATAGATATGAAATATATAATATATAGATCTGTGTAGATATAATCTCTATATGGATATAGAGATGATCTAGATATATTTTATATAGTTTTATATAAAACTTATTGACGTGCTTTGGGCCGGACTGGCCACAGAAACGGATGACAGATGCTCCCCCCATGGATATTTTATATCATAGAATCACAGAATGCTTTAGGTTGGAAGAGACTGTGATATATGTCTATTTATCTCTATATATTGTTATATTCTGTGTTGTTATGCATATTATTAGATTATATATATAGATATCTATATATATCTCTTTTTATATATATTAATGTGTGTGTGTATATACGCATACACACAGACACGTATATATATATAAAATGGGATGTCTGTGTTAAATGCAAAGGATGCAGAAAGGCTTTGCCCTGAAGCTTTGGTTTTGGGGCGGTAACACGGCGTGGCTCCCAACGGAGTCGGGGTACGGGTGCTCTCCCCTCCCGGGGCCGGCGGTGGGAGGACAGGGGGGGCTCCCAGTACCGGCACAGCCGAGGGCTGGGGACCCGCCACAGCCCATCGTCCCACCACAGCCCCTCGCCCCGGTGCTGCTCGGCTGCGCAACAGCCTGGGGCTTCTCCCCTCCCATAGACCGGAAGACAATATTAAATATCCTATATATTTATATATAAAATAATATCTATGTAATATATATTAGTTATAGATACTAGTGATTATATAAAAATCAATATATATTCAATTATATCTATAGGAGATGTAGATTAATAAAAAATATCAATACTATTTGGGCTTTGTATCTCAATTATCTCTAAATATTATTGAATATATGTATTGAATATATATATTGACTATTTCTAGATATTATTGAATATGTATAATTCAGTATACATATTCAGTATATGTATTCAATAATGTCTAGAGGTAATTGATAGGTAATAATATAGAGATTTTTATACATAAGTATCTATATATTATTAGGTATAATCTATAGATAATATATTTCAATATAAGTATTCAGTACATATTCAATAATGTGGATATCTATGTATAGATATATCAGAATCAGAGAATGGTTACAGTTGGAAGGGACCTGAAAGATCATCGAGTCCAACCCCTCTGCCATGGGCAGGGACACCTCCCACCAGCCCAGGTTGCCCAAAGCCCCGTCCAACCTGGCCTTGAACCCCTCCAGGGATGGGGCAGCCACAGCTTCTCGGGGCAACCTGCGTCAGCGGCTCACCACCCTCAAAGTGAAAAATTTCTTCCTAATGTTTAATCGAAATCTCCCCTCTTCCAGTTTACAACCGTTCCCCCTCGTCCCATCGCTCCCCTCCCTGATGCACAGTCCCTCCCCAGCTCTCCTGGAGCCCCTTTAGGCACTGGAAGGGGCTCTGAGGTCTCCATGGAGCCTTCTCTTCTCCAGGCTGAACCCCCCCAACTCTCCCAGCCTGTCCTCCCAGCAGAGGGGCTCCAGCCCTCCCAGCATCTCCGGGGCCTCCTCTGGCCCCGCTCCAGCAGGTCCATGTCTCTCCTGTGCTGAGGCCCCCGAGCTGGAGGCAGCACTGGAGGGGGGTCTCCCCAGAGCAGAGCGCAGCAGAGGGGCACAATCCCCTCCCTCGCCCTGCTCGACATTAGGTACTTGATATCATTTTTCCCGGCTTCATTAGGCCACCGTTACAGCCATGAGACTTTTCTCCAGGTCCTGCAGCCAACTCTGGTTGCAACCTTGGCCTCGCAGAGGTTTACTGTGAGCTGCGGGGTGGTCCATGGCTGACCCTAGTGTCCCTCCTGCCATCGGTACCTTCAGACAATGATGCCACTGCTACGGCTCTTTGCAAGTAACCCGGTTTTGTAAAAATTAAGATTTGATGCTCCTCTCCGGAGCAGTTTCACGAGGACGAAGCTCTTGGGGAAACGGGAAGCGGGGCAGCAGCTTGTTTGTGTATTCCCCATCCCCTCCTCAAAAACCAGGCGGCAATTCTCCCAGCTCGGTAGCCAGTGGCAACAGCCCGATGAAATGAATAGGCTGTCACGCTAAGCGCTAAGAAATGTAACTATTACATTTTACAATTCTCTTTTTCTTTGCAGCACATGTTCATTTAAAGGTAATGCTCTCCGGGGTTTGCATTCTGCTGATAGGATAGCGGGGTCTTAATTTACAGATATTCTCCAGTAATGCGCGGTTTATATACGTTCTGCTAATAGCATTATGAGCATAGTTTGGCCTAATACAAAATTAGAGCTCTAATTTGCATAAACAAATTACTGTTTGGATTAGCACTAAATGGGGAAGACGACTGATATTTGAAGAGATTTGATTTGGCTGCGACCGGCTCTGTTTGTATAACGGCGGATGTACGAAAATGAGCTGGGTGGCTCCGCGCGGGTTGGGAGGGAGGTGGGATGGAACAGGAGATGCTGGGTCATGAACCGGAGGGGGTTTTGGTGGCAGATGAGCCCCTCTGGGACATTTTAGTGGTGACTTGGCAGTGCTAGGTTGATGGTTGGGTTGGACTTAGAATCGTAGAATTGTCTAGGTTGGAAGGGACCTTTAAGATCATCAAGTCCAACCGTTAAACCAACACTGCCAAACCCACCAGTAAACCATGTCCCTCAGCACCATGTCTACCCATCTTTTCAATACCTCCAGGAATGGCAACTCCACCACTTCCCTGGGCAGCCTCTTCCAGTGCTTACAGTGCTTGACAACCCTTTCCATGAAGAAATTTTTCCTAATATCCAATCTAACCTTCCCTGGCACAACTTGAGGCCATTTCTTATTGTCCTATCGCTTGTGGATGTAGAGGAGAGATGGGGAGGTGGAGAAGGGTCCCCAGCGCTGACTGATCAACCCCAGTTGTGTCCCAGCATCTACTTCAGGCAGTAGATGGGGGATGATGACTCATCCCATGCAGGAATGGAGCAAAACCCTTGCAGGTTTAGGGAGGAAAATAATAATATCAGACTTATAATACATAATAATAATAATGATACAAAAATATCAAAGCTCGTAGAGCTCCGTAAAACTTGGCTAAGCTCAATGGAGGTCCCACGTTGCTGATTCCTTCGTGGGGCTACCGTCTGCATTTTTTCCCTTCTTTTCTGCTGGGGTCGGAGCTCTAAGCCAAGGGCGTGAGATGGGGCATCAGCTCTGGCTCCGGGGACTCACCTGGATCCCATTTTGGATGCACCAGGCTGCCATTTAAGAAGCCTCATACCAGCAGCGCGGATGGAAGCCATGCTGCGTGTGAGGCCTTGAGGTCGATGGTGAATATCTGGAGAGTTTGAGGGACAAACACCTTTGCTATGGTGGGTTGGGGACCTGACCTCCAGTCTGTGGTCTCTTCTCCTGCGCCATTGCCGTGGGTGAGCTGAGGGAAAGAAATGGCTTTTTGCTGCATGGGGGAAAGCGATGCCAGAGGGAGAGTCGTTGAGGGCTGGGGTTTTTTTTGGTGTAAATCACAGGGAATCAGAGCTTTTCCTCTGTCTCCAGCAAGAGCATCCCTGGTTCTTCCCTTCTCCATCCTTAAGCAGCCAAGGGTTTGCTCATGAAGCAGCAGCTCCTTGCGATATCTTACCTTGACTTTATGGTTTTCTTGCAGATCCCCGTTATTAAACCAAACGCGCTCATCGCCTCAAGGCGGCAAATCCCAGCACGTGCAACAGAGATGGAGGAGCAAAGGCTATCGCTGCATCGGCGGGGTGATGTACCGAGTGTCGGCGAATAAACTCTCCAAGACTTCCAGCACCCCTGGCCGGGGCAGAGACCTGAGCACCAAGAGCCCCGGCAGAGCATGTGAGCAGGAAAAATTTGTCCTGATCTGCATCCAAAAGCCAACAACAACCCGGTTTTGGTGCTGAGGTTGGCTTTTAGGTGCTTATTTCCCAGCTCGTGCGTTGCAACTTATCCTCTGGTCTCGTAGAAGCCCAGATGCAAAGGTGATGGGCATCCCATGGGTGCCAAAGCACATCCCTCAGCTCTTCTTGCTTTACAGTGGCGCTGAAGGGAATCAGAATCATAGAGTGGTTTAGGTTGGAAGGGACCTTGAAGATCATCCAGTTCCACCCCCACTGCCCTGGGCAGGGACACCTCCCACCAGCCCAGGTTGCCCAAAGCCCCGTCCAACCTGGCCTTGAACACCTCCAGGGATGGGGCAGCCACAGCTTCTTGGGGCAACCTGCGTCAGCGGCTCACCACCCTCAAAGTGAAAAATTTCTTCCTAATGTTTAATCGAAATCTCCCCTCTTCCAGTTTACAACCGTTCCCCCTCGTCCTATCACTCCATGCCCTTGTAAAATGTCCCTCCCCAGCTCTCCTGGAGCCCCTTTAGGCACTGGAAGGGGCTCTGAGGTCTGCGCGGAGCCTTCTCTTCTCCAGGCTGAACCCCCCCAACTCTCCCAGCGTGTCCTCCCAGCAGAGGGGCTCCAGCCCTCCCAGCATCTCGGTGGCCTCCTCTGGCCCCGCTCCACCAGGTCCATGTCTGTCCTATGTTGGGGACTCCAGAGCTGGAGGCAATACTCCAGGTGGGGTCTCCCCAGAGCAGAGTAGAGGGGCACAATCCCCTCCCTCGCCCTGCTGGCCACACTTCTTCTGATGCAGCCCAGGATACGGTTGGCCTTCTGGGCTGCAATCACGCATTGCTGGCTCATGCTGAACTTCTCATCGATCAGCACACCCAGGTCCTTCTCCTCGGGAAAAGAATGTAGAAAAATGAAAGGTTTAAGAAAACAGAGGTTTTTCTTAACTGGGGCTTAGTTCAAGGTTGTAGAGATGCGCCGTTAAACTTGTTTCTTTTATAACCTGAGCAAAGTCTTGGGCAGCTTCAAATGGCACCCCAAGGTTAAACGTATTTGAGATGCTCATCAAATTACATTCAGTATTGACCTAAGGAAAGCTGGGAGCATCACTCCGCAGGTAACTATGAAACAGGCATTTCAACACAGTCACTGGCTTTACATTTAGCTTCAATTAAATTTATGTTTCAGCTCCTCTTGTACTTGATGCCTCAAGTGTGGCTCTTAAGCAAGACCAGCTTTTTAACGGTGCCTTAAGTATTTTTTTGAATTTCTACTTGGGGTCAAATATTTTGGCTCCGTAACTGCTTTATTGACAAATTTTGGGGACAGTTAAGCTGGAAAAAGCAAAACCAATGGCTTTGTGCTATTGTTCTTCTTTGCTGGAGGGGTGAAGGGTGCAGAGGTGGGTATGTTCATGGATAATGCTATAAATGAGGCAATTTAATGCCCAAGTCATTTTACGTACGGTGGGAAAGTGGATGAAGAGAGGCAATAAATAGCGCACTGTTGTTGAGAGGTGCAGCCTCCCAAACCGCCTGCGCCCCGATTCGTTTGAGCGTGGTGGGGAGTCCTGGGTAGTTTTAAACCCACAAAGAACAGGATTGGGAAAGGCAGGAGCTTTGTGGTAGGCACAGAAAATCCCAGCAGCGGGAGAGCTGAGCAGCTCCGGGAAGTTTGAAAAACACGAGGAAAATTAGGAGCAAACAGCAACATCTCAATAAAGAGTAAATCATTCCCCCCATGACTCTCGCACGCAGCCGGTAAGTGGTGTTGGAGGGAAAAAGGAGAGAGGGAAGTGAGGGGCAGCCAGGAGAGGGACGAGGGGTGATGATAAATCCTTACTGCACACCGTCGCTGGTGCGTAGGAGGGCAGAGATTTAGCTTAAACCGTGGATTAGCTGCTCCGGACACCTGAGGATGGGAAATGAAGACGCCTTCAGATGATAAGAGATGAGGATGCTGCGGTGGCCGAGGGGGCACGGAGCCGATGGAGCATCGTTTGCAGGTAATCTCCCTTCTGAGAGCATTAAAGGGATGCTCGGCAGCGGTTTGGGGACAGTTTTGCTGGTGTTTTTGCAACTCAGCTCTGCTCAGGACAGATTTTCGTTGGCTGACTCGCCTGAAACGTCGTCCTCGCTGCTGGCTCTGCAAATAGGTACGTGCGCACTCATGAGCCTGCGTCCATATGGCTTGTTTTGAAGTCTGCGATCCTACCTGCAACCGTTAAATCCTGGGCTTTGGTGCTGCTTCAGAAGGAGGATGGGCAAGGATCAGCCTCCGGAGACATGGAAAAAAAGGCTATAAAGCGAGCTCAAGGGTTTGTAGACCAAGCAAATCCCGGTGTCAGCGATGTCGGAGTTTTACAAGAGCTTTGCTAACGGCAGTGGTATTTTCCGAAGTGTCTGAATCGGGGTAATCAGCTGCACAAAATCAACTCGAGCGCGATTCTGCCGTAAGCACCATCCCTGGGTGTTGAAACTGTCACCAAAGGCAGCGAACATCTTGCCGGAGTGCGAAAAAAGGGTTGAAACCCCCAAGACGTGGGCAGGGAAGATGTTAGTTGGAGGAGGTCTGGGTTTGGAGCCAGGTTTCAGGACAGAGTTGGACCACTGGGAAGAGTCCAGGGGAAGAATGATGGCTGAAAGGACTGGAAAACGGGAGGACCTGGGTCAGTGAGATCTGATGGAGGGGCTGCAGGTTCCCAAGTTCATGAAGAGCTGCCAAGTGAAGGAAGGATGTCTTCTCCATGGCCAGGTGGAGTAGCCAAAAACCAAGGGTCTCAAACTGTAGCAGGAAGGGTTCTGGGAGAACTTTTGAAGGATGAGGATTATGAAGTGCTGGAGTAAGTTGGATGGGTTGACTCTAAAATCTCCATTATTGGGATTTTTTAAAGAACAGGTTATGTGAACTTCTGCTTGGGGAGGACACAGCTGGAGCAGGTCGTGCCTTGCAGCAATGAGGTGGTCTTGACTCAAGCTGCTGCCTCATTTCCAGTCCATGGTGGAAGCCATTGGTGGCTTTAATTTAGGTGCTGGAAGACGGTGGGAGGACTTAACTGCCCACCACAGTGCATATATCACTATTTCTGTTCAGAACATCAGTGTTTCCGAGGCAGCTTTTCCCAAGCCCAGATCTTGCACGTGCCATATTTAAAATATTTATTCCAGAGGTTTTGGGTTTTTTCTTATTTATCAAAGTGCAAGAAAGTCTCTAAAATCATCTGGCCGCTGGGAAGTAGCAAAGTCACACGTAGGCAACTCAGCAAAGGCAGATGGATTCAGCCTGTCCATGAATATCCACCACTGGACTGGGACTAAGCAGAGAACCGCCAGTCCAGGGTGCAACTTCTGGGAAAGGGATTGAGCCAAAGGTTTGACAGGAGGATTTTGGCAAATTCAGGCATCGGCGTTGCTCTTGGGGTTTTGCTGCGTGAGAATTTTGGGTATGCGGAAGGGAAGAGCAATGATTTTCAAGGGATTTAGTTTGCAGAAGTGATCTAAAGCAGCTTTAAAAAGCAAAGGATCGGTAAAAGATGCAGGGTGAGAGTGCACCAGCGAGCACCGGATACTTTTGTGGACACTTTTCCCCGCTTTTTGATATCAGTTTTAAAATAATGGGACTTTCATGGAGATGTGCAACTCTCTTGAGGTCAGCAGATCAGACTTGCTGGCCGGCGGTGGGAAGGGAGCTGCTCCCTATCGTGGCTTTATCAGGGGCGACGGGGCACGGAGAAGACGCGATCCCCTCCCCATCCTTCCATCCCCACTGGTACCGCATCATTTAGCGAGGTCTGGTTTGGAGAAACAGGTTTAATTAGTCCAGCTTTGGGACAAAAGGTCCCTTCCAGGGTTATTTTCTGTAAAATAGACCCATCTATATTAGTGTTAAAGATATTTCTTATTTTGCTGTAGTCTCCTTCCCCCTGCCACACGGCGGGTTGGGTTTGTAACCGTAAAGCCCTGGTAACTGGTGTGTGTCAGGATTTTCACGTCATCTTTTAGCTCTTGCCATAATTCATCCTCCTTCGCCGGGATGGATTCAACAGATAACCGGTGTCTCTCGCTTTACGATAACTGGGGCTGGCAGGGCGGAAGATTTGTGTGCGCTCATCGGGTATGAGCCTTCACACGTTTACTGAATAGTCCGTGTTTCCAACACTTGACAAAGTTTATTTAAAAGATGAAAAAAAAAACCTCAGCTTTTCCTTTCCCTTCTAGTGCCAGACGCTGTGTGTTTGGGCTGGCAGAGAGATGGGAAACGCTCCTGACAGTTTAATAGCTTGGAGTTTACTTACGGTGGGTTATAATTCTGCTGTTTGCCTGAATTTATTGGGTTGGTATTTTGTCTTTTCGTAGCCTGACTACAATAAGAAACGCGATACTGGTTGCTGCGGCTGATCCATCAGTGCCATCGTCCTATCCCTGGCGGGCGAGTGGGATGGGCAATCGTTTTGATGCTGGTGGCAAGTTAAAATTTGGTCTCGGGGATGCACCTCCTGCAGCCCTGCACTGTAGTAGAGTCGATCCTGGGGCTACTAGGAGCAATAAAGTGACTCGTCCATCTCCTGGAGCGAGGGGAAGAGCAGGAGTTTGTCATGGCTCATCCGCAACCCGCTTAACGGTGGCGTGACGTGGGGTGACACCCGGCTTGGGGACAGAGAAAGAGTCATAGCAAAGCCAGGAGAAGTTTCTGCAAGGTGTTTTCAGCATAAAGAAGCTGCCTGGAGCGATTTGTGGGTTTGGGCATCAGAGTGGTTCCGTACAACTGCTGAGAACTGTGCTTTCATCCCACGTGTGGCTCTGCTCCCATGGGGCTCGTGGCATGTTCTGCGCTTGTATTCCGAACTCGAAAGATTAAATATAGAAATAAAAAGACTTTTTGCCTTCCTGGCCGGCCGGTGAGCTCAGCTGTACCGTAACTCAGCCACTTGAGCAAGGATGGAAGAGGCTCAGGAGAAAACATCTAGCTGCAAATGCGGTGCTCGGACACCTACTCCTC